AGGTTGTGGATTCTCCTTCTCTGGAGATATTCAAGACCCGCCTGGACAAGGTCCTCTACAGCCTACTGCAGGTGACCCTGCTTCGGCAGGAGGGTTGGACTAGAGGACCCACAGAGGTCCCTTCCAGCCCCGAACATTCTGTGATCCTGTGATTCTGTGATTCTTTAATTGCACTTTTGGCAAAGAGTTGTTCAATGAGATGCTGCTGCTTCTTTTAATGAAGTCCTGGGTCTCCTTTGGTTTGTTCAGGTTTATGCTGAGGAATGGTTTTTCCTCCCACCAGCTGTGTGCTTACATCCATATTCTTGTAATGCTCACCTACAGAAAACCTGGGATGGCCTAGGTGTGTGTTTGAGGTGTGGTTTGTAAAGCCCAGTAATATCAGCTGATCAGGTTGGGAAAACCAGATGGTTTTGTCACACATGAGCCAAAGAAATGACCCGAGAAGGGGCTGACGGACCCGAAAGCTCGCCTGTTTGTTCCAGCTCAGTCAGCTGCTCTCGTTGGCGTGGCCAGACCCGCAGGCTGGATTTTGACACAAGCCTGGTTCCCAGTCTGTGCCGCCCAAGCTGTGCTCTGCGCTTCAGCCCGAGCTCAGCCGACGCCTTCCTTTCCGAGGGGAGCCGTGCGATTTGCACCCCTTCTCCCGGCACCCAGACAGCTCGCTCGACCTGCTGAAACAACACACACCCCCCAACACCCCAGCATCCCCCTCGAAGGGATGCGGGAGAGCTGCTCCTCTCTGGCTGGAGCGCTGCCGCCACCTGACGGCCACCGCCGCGGGGACAGGGACCGGGACAGAGACCGGGACCGGGACAGGGACAGGGACACGGCCCGGGGCTCTGGCTCCCTGCCTGGGGTGGGTGTGGGGGTGTCTGCCACCCGCACCCTGGGCTGGTGCTGCCCGCACAGCATCGCCCCGTTGCACCCCTCTGCTTGAACAGCCCCGGGAGAGTCGATTGCGTGGCACCAACTCTGTGCGGCTCACGCGCTGTCTCCGTTGCTTCTCGCTCAGCGTAGCTTGAGGTGCGCCGTTCCAGGAGTCGCTGGAAGATGCGAAGCCTGCAGGTGGAACAACTTCGGGTGCCCCGTAAGCCAAAAAGGGAGCTCTGGGTGGAATAAAAGCTTTCATCTCAGTACATGATGTCTGTGGTGGTTTTGTTTCTGTTAGTCGGTTTCTTTTTCCTGCAGCTTTGCCAGCCACAGTGGCATATTCAGCATCCTCCTGCAGCGACGAGCAAGCCAGCCTTTTGCAAAGGAATTTGTATTACCACCTGCCGAAATTCCTCTTAGTTTGGCCACATCTCTCTGGCTCGAGGCTCTGATGAGGTACCTCGGGTCTTTCCCTGCTGTTGCTACTTATTTTAAAGGAGGTGGTCGTGCCAGAAAGAAATGTAGCGTTTCAATATAAGCCTCTAATACCCTTTTAAAAAAGGAGAGGTGAAAGATTTGCTTACGTGACTAATATTCTCCACAGCCTCAGTGTCCTGACTTGACAGCAGCTGATTCCCAGGTGGGCAGTGACTGAGTATATGCCAATACCTGTGCAGGAGAGCAGCGTGTCAGCTCGGAATTGTGTGTGGCAGGGAAGCAACATATTCTTTTGCAATGTATGGGTGTGCCAACCAGTAAAAATCACAAACCCACACTGGTCTTGCAGTGGCAATAGCGCGCTGTAACTGCGCTGACCTTGGAATGCGCCTCAGAAGCGTCCCCAGCGCTGTGAGGCAGGAGCATTAGGGATGAGACAGCTGGCTATATGAGCTAAGAAACACACACATACCCACACACCCTGCAAGAAAGGATGGAGCCCTCCCTTGGGCCAGACTCTGCTTTTCCTTTTGGTAGGAAGGAGAACACCTCCAAGCAGGTGAGGAATAAGGGGGTGTCCTCCTTCTTTGACATCCCCACTCCTCCTGCAGGTCCGGGAAAATAAAGGAGGTCGCTCTGCTTCCAGACCAGCACGCCTCAGGTTTTCGAAGGCCAGCATATCTCTCCACAGAGATGGATTTTATGATTTTTTTTACAAACCAGTCAGCAGAAGCCTCTACATATTTTCCAGATCATGTGCAAATGTGTGGGAGCTGAAGGTCAGGCAATGTGAAAGGACAAAAAAGCCATTTGGTGATGGGTAACATGTTCTCACTGCACTTGCAGACTGAACCCTCAGCTTCTGCAAAGGCAGCCATCAGGGCAGGATCTTATCCTTACTTCAGCATATATATTATCCTATACCTCCTCCCCATAAATCCTGGCCTGATAGAAATTCTCTCACATCATTGTTAGCTCTGCTAAAAGAGATAAAATTTTATTCCAGCATCTTCAGATTCAAAGGGTTAGAGGAAAGGTCCTAAAAGGACTATTCTGGCCCCCCATATCTGAAATGGCAGGTGGGATGAGTCCTTCCACATAAAAAGTTTGGCCAGAGCATGAAGCGTGGGTTGTACGGAGCTGCTCCCCAGCACTTGGCTGCTTCTTGATCACACAGGCACACCATTTTTTCACATCGGTCCGTCAGATTATCTGCAAAAGAAAATGTGAGTGGAGGATGAGTGACTCTGTATTGGATGAAGGCACGAGACAGTTTTAAGAGGCACAATTCCCTAATAAAGCAATTCATAGGGAACAGAGGCTGTGGGAGCAGGACGAGAGCAGGACAAACACATTGTGTTGTGTGTGGATCTGACCCTCCCCTGTCCTTTGTCAACAGGTCTGAGCTTAACTGTGACCAAGACCATCAGAAAGTAGCAGCAAAATCTAAACTGGCAATGCACAGAGCGCTCCCCACTCCTAGAGCTGTGTGAGCAGTGGGGGTTTAGTTCAGCGAGCGAAGCTAGAAAAGAGAATTATTTTAGCTTAGCCTGAGCTAAAAGTAATCTATTTTCCCTTTTAACTCCTCCCCCTGGAAATCAGACTGATATCAATAGAAAAAATGCTGCTTTAAAAGGAAGAGTCTCCCAGAGGAATGTTCAGAAACCTGAGGATGTAGGACCCACTGGGTATCCTTCACTTGTGCTTCATGAGTTGCTCTTACATCTCTCTGATCACAGCAGAGGAACCAAGGAACTGCACAGCAGGGTCAGGTACCTGATTTTTATGAGTCAGAAGCTAACGAAGCTTATCAAAATCATTTGTATGGAACTATTTATAATGCAATTATAGGACTACCTGACTAGGTGAAGACCATAAGGAACATCAAAGCAGCTAGCTGAGGTAGCTACATTGCAAATGACTGATTTTGGGTTAATGAACCCAAAATATATAGGTGGCTATAATGCAGCCATTGGGCTAATCTTATTTCAAAGCACAGTGCTTTGTTTGTTTGAGGCTGCTGCCATAGATTATCAAACACCCACCAAACCCCACACTAGGCAAAGTCTGACGTGTGACTTTACGCCAGTGCACGTGGGCTTTGCTCCAAAACCAACTGCAATGAGTATAGGAATCCTTCCAGATTTCACTGGACGTTGCTGGATCAATCTTGTATCTAGTAAATAAGAAGACCCCATATTTCTTAAGATTTTCTGAAAAGAATCACTTGTTTACCAGTAAAAGGTATTCCAAGGGTCCCACTGATGGGGACTCCGTGCTAAGTCCATTTTTCCCTTAGCTCCCAGTCCTGCCTGATTTTCTCCTTGCCCCTCTGCTCCTGGAGTTCTGCTTACGCTGTGCCAACCGCTATTCATCTAATGTGAGTACGAGAGTCTAGCTTGGCAGTCATTTCTGCTAGAGCAGAATGATTTTTTCTATATTCCAGATATTTATTGAATGGAATTTGCCTACATATGATGGAATATCTGAACTGAAAAATATGCGTTTGCCCATTTTTTTCATTCTACAGACAAAACTGCGTAACACTAGCAAAAGGTGGGGAGGATTAGAAGTGAGATATTTTTTTCATATCAAAACAGTTGGCAGAAAATATCAGTCAGCTACGGAAATATGGGTAAGCAGGAAGGAGAGCAGTTACACGTTAAAGCAATACATTCCCTAGCCAGCACTTTGTATTTAGTAAGTTGTTCTGGCACTTGGAAAAGAGCAACTCCAGATGTGCTGTGCCACATCCCATATCTGCTGGCAGATTTTTGGCTGCTGGAGAGGCTGAGGACTGCACCGGTGGAATGTAGTCTTAATATACAAGCAAGTAGCTTTGATACTATTGGAACAAATTTTACTCTCACATGTTTCTTTTCAAACTTTTGAAGTGTTCTACAATGGAGTTTACCATCAGGGACTTTTTGGAGACTTAGAAAGAAAAGTGACAAATTCTAAGACTCAAGTCATCTGGCGCATGTCAGAACAAACTGGTGCGAGCCACTGACGGGCTGTGACTGTGCCATTCAAGTTCTTCTAGATTGGGTAACAGCTGCAGAGGTGAGCACAGCTGACACTCGCTGTACGCCTGTGGCACTGGAGAGCATTCGACGCCACAAGTTTCAAAATCCCCGCTGGAGCCCTCAGGCTTTAGGCTGGAGCTCCACACGAGGAAAAGATGCAGGCTGGCACCCTGTTTAACCTGTCTTACAGACACGCGTAGCAGCACAGCTCTTCTCTAGCAGCACGTGTGGTACGTAAAGCAGCAAGCAGTCCTGCTGGAGGGAGGGCCAAAACTGAACCATAGAATCATAGCATGCTTAGGGTTGCAAGGGCCCTTTAGAGGTCACCTAGCCCACCTCCCCTGCAGTGAGCAGAGACACCTTCCACTAGACCAGGCTGCTCAGAGCCCCATCCAACCTGGCCTTCAACGCTTCCAGGGATGGGACCTCCACTACCTCTCTGGACAACCCATTCCAGTGCTTCACCACCCTCATGGTAAAGAATTTCTTCCTTATATCCAGTCTAAATCTACCCTCCCTTAACTTAAAGCCATTGCTCCTTGTCCTATCACAACAGGCCTCACTACAAAGATTGTCCCCATCTTTCCTATAGGCACCCTCTAAGTACTGAAAGGCCACAGTGAGGTCTCCCCGGAGCCTTCTCTTCTCCAGGCTGAACAGCCCCAACTCTCTCAGCCTGTCCTTGCAGGAGAGGTGCTCCGGCCCTCGGATGATTTTCATGGCCCTGCCACAGGCAGACCACCCCTGCTGCAGTGGTCGCAGGCACACCACTGCACAGCTTTGGGAAGGTGTTGGTAGGAGCGGGTGTGCTTAATGCTGGTGGGCAGAGAGCCTCCGGGGAGGCATCTGCATCCTTGCCAAACTGAGATGGCTTGTCGGCTCCATGGTCCCCACTCCCGCTCTTCAGCCTGGGGAGGACTCAGGTTGCCTGGGACGGGCGGTGCTGGGGCTCCAGCCTTCCTCCCAGCTCCAGCTGGGGACTTCTGGCAAGTTGAGCGATCCAGGCAAGGTGTGGACAGAGAGCTCGGAGGAGAACAGACGTCGCCCAAAGCAGCTCTGAAACCAGCTCAGCATACACAAACCTACCTCTGAGGCCCACGAAGCCCTTTGGCCAGCCCAGTGCCTGTGGAGAAGGGAGCGAAGCAGACCCAATGCGAGCCAGCATTTCCTTACCGCAGCGCACGGCGTTCTGCTCACACGCCCACCGGTACGGCCGCACCTTGGGGCTGCAGCCTTCCTTCTCTGCCTTGTCGTAGCAGCAGTCGTGCCTGTGGCAGCACCTGTGGGAGAACAAAAGGTAATGGCTAGGCGTCCTCCTGTGTCCTGCACCTTTTGCTCAGGGGTGTTCGCACATACTCCAGGAGTCCTCCACTCACGCACCGGTTGCGACAGCAATGTTTGCCCCAGCGTGTCAGTAAATTGTGGACGAATCGAGCCTCCTGGCATCTCTTTGAAAGTTCACATGGCTCAGGAGCTCATTCACGCCATACTTGCTCCCACGACCACTGTGCTTCTTCCTCCGAGCTTTTGCCCTCCCACTCACTGAAACGGAGCTGAAGCATTACTGTGAGGTGCATGATCATGGCTCACCTGCTGAGGCTTAGACCCCTCCCAGAATTTAGAGATGGGATGTTTTTTGCCTTCCTCAGCATCACCAAGCAGCTTCCTCTCTTCAGTTCACCCAGGCCTGCCATGTGCTCTTTGGCCCATCCAGTTTCTGAGGCTACAAACTCATCAGTCTCAATGGTGGGATCTGTATCTGTTAACTTCAGATCCCTAAATGTAAACATCTACATCTGAGGCATTGAGCTACACTCCCTTCATGCAGGTGTGGGCCACAGTTCCCCTTGTACTACAAAGACCTGACACAGGTGAAAAGCATGGAAGTGCAATTGCTTTTCACTGACCGTAGAGGGGGCTGAGGGTGACTATCTCAGCTGATGATAGCTGTCCTACAGACTAGGCAGTGAGATAATTCCCACTAACGATTACTGCAGAATTTATAGAAAACTTGACCCTGCTTGAATTTTATTCTGGTCGTTCAGTGACTCAAAACGTGCCAAGAAAAGATTCAGGACATAGAGAGGTCCTCTGCCAGATAGCAAAGGTTATTTCAGCAAGAATGCGAGGTCAGAGGCTGGAGCCAGAGAGGAGTGATCTCCTGCATTTCCAGAAGCTGTCCCTGAAAGGTCACAAGGACTCTACAGAGAAACCGCTCTACTAATTGGGAAGCATTGAGGCAGGCTGACCTTCGGGGTAAATGAAGAGCAAGCAGCTTTTAGAGAAGCTCTGAGTCCTAGATGTGAATTCCCTCAAGAGGCTGATGAGCTGGCCAAAAGTGAGCATGGCTGTGCTGGCTGCCCATAGATTACCAAATCCAGTTGAAGACCTTGATTGTTATCTTCAAGACCTGAGGCCAGTGTACCTGAAAAGCCAGTAAAAGTCTGGGATCCACCATTATATCCCTCTGGAAAAGTGGAACAACCCTGCAAGAAGGATAAAGGTCCCTGTGCAGCAAGCAGGGCTTCTCTGAGGACGTGTTGGAAGCTGCCAGTACTGTACCCAAGAGTTCAGCAACATAGCGAACTTCATCACCTTCTGCTGCAGGATGATTTTGCCCTTTTAGAAGCTGGTTTACGGATTTGAGGGCTGGTGGGCTGCACGAGGTGACAAAGCCCAGGAAAAAAAAAAAAATTCTGAAGTGCAAAGAAGAAGACTCACCGCTGATGCAAATTCTAACAAAATCCCTGGAACTAGATCAGGTGAATCATGTGAAAGAGACAGGAGAATCAGAGCAGTCAGATCAAATTCAGCCTTCAAGTAAACCCTGTGATTACACACAGAGTGGATTTAGTCTAGTGTGCTTTCCGTACTAACTGAGCTTCTGATTTAGTAGTTCAAGTAGTAATTTCATCCCACAGATGAGTCTGCAAACTAAATGCCTATCTTTTTCTTGGCTTGCAAAGGTGAAACCTGTGTGACGATTACAACCAGACTACTCATTGCATTGTGAAACCTAGAAATGTAAGTTAGCAGTAGCAGACTAGCATCTCCCTTCATGCCAGCTCCTCACAGGACTTCAGAATGAGATTAAGCCCTATGGGATATGCATGCCTAGAAGTTTTCCCATGAGGAGTTACAGCAATTGCTGTAATTGAGAAGAGCTTATTCAGCCCATGGAACCAGTTCTTTTGGACATGATGGCAGTAGCAGTCTGTGGGTCAGATCTTTGTTGGTCCGGTAACACCTCGCTCCTGGGCTTGTCCTGAAGAAGTTAGAAGCGAAAGGCCAAAGGAGAGAAGGATTTGCAGGCTTGTGGAAAGTGTGAAAGTCTGAGCTTTCTCCAACATTCGAGTCCCTGTGCAACGTGTCATACGATATTGCAGGATGGACTACGGCACTGAGCTACAACTGGGGCATGTCTCATCTAGAGCAGTTGCTGTAGCCCGGGGCACCCTGGCTAACATACCTGAAGCTGCAGCACAGCCTCATCCATCCTCAGGGTGATGACAGATAGCAGAGCAGGCCCATCATTGGTGTCTCATATATGGGACACAAAGCACAAGAGGCCATGGCAGAGAGTCACGGATCAGGCTGAGCTGAGCTGGAGCGTCAGCTGTGGAAATTGTAGCGTTTGTGAAGTCTGGGGGGGTGAATCAATAGTCATATTGGTAAAGCTGGCGTCAGCGATGGAGGAACGAGGGGAGGAGAAACAACGTGAAGGTAGACGGGCAGAGGGAGGAGTTAGGAGCCTGAGTGCAAAGGGAATGAAACTGCTCTTCATAGACAGCCAGAGGAAACAAACAGAAGAGGTAGGAGAAGTGAGAACGGATCTTGGAGGGGGCAAAAGATGGTCTGTGAATCAGGCAAGGACAAGCAAATGAGCAGTGGAGAGGTGTGCTAGCTAGCTGTGAGAACTCACTGCTCCTTAGCTGCCTTGGCAAAATCAGGGGGATTGCATAAATTCTGCAGGACCACAGGATCTGGGGCACAACTCTGCTTCCCCTTACACCAGTTGCTCCTGATGATACCCATAACTGCAACGGGCTGACACGTAGCTTACACCAGCACAAAGCGAGAAGACTTTGGCTCATTTGCAAACATCTCTTTCAGATGTGTTGAAAATACTGCCAGGGAATGAAGGCCGAGGAAACCTATTGTTGTCCTTTGCCACGTTCAGATGGTCCCCTCCTGTCTGGAAATGCCCTTTCCTGCACCTGGGTCAGGCTTTTAATAATCTGCTAACGCTCGTTTAGACCAACACAGAGTCAGCCAACACTATGGCCAAGCAGTAGTCAACAGGTATGGAAAACAAATACAACCGTGTCATCTTGTTAGTAAGCAACTTACTCATCACGGCTGGGCTCCAAGACAGCCCTGATGGCTACAGATGGCTCTGGCTGGCCCGCAGGGATCGGGTGGCCAGACCCCTGCCGTTGAGTAAATGCCACTAAGGCAAGAATTTGTCACCTTAAAAGCACAGCCACCACTGTGTGTCCTTTTGTTTTGCCTTAACTCAGCAACTGAGGGGAAATATTACTCTTCCTTATGAGTTTTCCAGGACTTCGAAGAGCCATACACGCCACCCTTCCTTTCAGAACGTTCGGTGTTTTCAGGGAGATGCTGAGCACCTTCAGGTCCTGCTTTACAAAATGGGTGCTGCAGCAATCCCAGCCAACAGAAAGGGGAAGGAGAAACAAACCCACTGCCTTTATGTGCAAGAGATGCCATTGTATCTTGAAGTGATGGGACTGTGAGAGTGGAACAAAAGGGAAAAGGTAATTACTGACAACCTCCATCAAAGTCAGTGTGTGGAATAAACCTTATAAAGGGATTACGTGCTCGATGGCTTTTTTTGTTTTCCTGTAAAAGAGAGGTGCTTAGGCGCACTCTAGCCCTGTCTAGACAGATTGACTGAATTACTCACAAGAAAATTACTCCTTTTGTAGAGGGTCTCAGTAACAAACCTAGAAGTGTCAAGGGGATGAGTAATTTCAAACAGTGTTTGTCACTCACAGCCAGTAGTTTTGCCACTCCACTTTTTTTTAGAATGGCAAATGTGGAAAATAATGTGGTCACTGTGACAGGCATGGGCTACTCAACCACACCGATTTTTGCAGTAATTCTCAGTAACAGATATCAGAAGATTCCTCTAGCAAACACAAAATGGAAATTTTTAGGGCTAAATCTAGTGGGGCATTGCTAATTCTTCCTAGCTAAGAAACTAACTAAAAACCTTGCTGGTTCTTTTTTGCAGCCAACCGTAAAGGATCAAGCTGCCTTTTTACAAACTATCTGATGTTTTGAGAAATTTCCAGTTGCAGAATCCTCCTTTTCTACTGTTAGGATAAAATCCAAATCCCATGGAAATCAAGCGGCAGCAGAAACACTGGCTGATGAACGCATGGCCATGTTTTCCTCTGTCTGCTTTTCAGGAGTGCTGACCACTCGCATCTCCCAGAGTCACCTAAACTTTGGGGTCACCCGACGTCTATGGAAAACAGCTTTTAGGTGACTCCGCTCAGCCCTTTGGTAAAAGCACTCCAAGTTAGTGAATTCATGTTTTACTTTAAAGGCCTCTCATAGTCCTGAGAGTTGGTAAAGACCTCACAAAAATAACAAACACGTTTATAGACACTGCTGTAGGTGGTGAGAAGCAGGTCAAGAGGTATTACTGACAATTTTTTAAAAATCTCTCTACACCTGACAGCTATGATACTTTGTAGGCAGTTACTCATTATTTGTAAGTCCCATACTGACCTCTTCATAGATGAAATGTTTCATAGGCACAAACCAGGGATGTGAAGTGAGGGCTTTGGGAGTGAAACTTCTCACTGTGTGAATGAAGACATCTCCACTAGTTTTAGGGGACACTTGCTCTTTTACACCCACAGAGGAGTGAGCCTTTAACTTTGGTGTCTTTTCCTCTTTTTTTTCCTTTTTCTGTCCTGCCAATTCATCAAAAGTTTGGGTTTGTAGCAATACAAAATGTCTGCAGTGGCTGGATATTCTGGAAAGCTTGGTTTCCTGCCCAGTGAGCTGCACGCTGCCTCCACCGCTGCTAAAAGCAGCACTTGCTTATCGGGAACACCTGGGCTGTTGACTGCAGATAAACAGATAGACTTTGTCTTTGAGGTTTAAAACCAGACAAGACTACAGATAACGGGCTCAGAGCACACAAGAGTCCATCATGCTCAAGATTTACATGTATGCTAATGGCAAAGTGGAAGAAAGAAACCTTTGATTGCAGCACCTCCGAGACTCATTGCTTTTAGCCTCAGGAACAACAAGCACAGCATCTTCCCCACTGGCAAGGAAGAGGGGAAATAACACCACGCTCTACCCTGTGGTTGTTCTTCCTTTATTCAGTGTGAACTAATAGGCAATGAAGGCAACAGGTTTGACTACTCCTTGCAATGATCTGGATTTCCTCCAGGGGATAAACAGTGATATTCCCATCACTGCCATTTTTAGGACCCGGGTGAAGTAGCCCTCCAAATACCTTGGTCACACCCCTATTTTCAGGCATGGCTTTCTCTCTGTGAATAAACTTGCTGCTATTTCAGGAAATCATATTCTGGTTCCTCCTTCCTCTGTCCCACACAGTACAAGGTCCCAAGAGCTCTGCTCTCATCCAGAAGGTGGTTAAACCCTCAGACCCCAAGCGATATGTGGGTCCTTGCTCACAGTTCCCCAGGACTGTTCATATATACCAAGTTCCTCCTCCGCAAGTCAATGACAAGTCCATGGAGTCACAGGAGTATGAACAGGGAAGGCTGGGGAGATCTGCACTGCTTCTGGGCACGCAGTTGAGGTTCTTCTTACCAGTCTGTTTCGTCTTTAGGCCAGCCTTGTCCTCCCAGTCCACAGTAGCATCCGTAGCCAATATATGCCAAGGGAGACCGTCCCGTGCCACACGATATAGCTCCTGCCAACTCGATGATTCCTCGGGTGTGCAGCGAATGGGATTTTCCCAAAGCACCTTTCCAAACTGCAAAGACAGGACACAGCTTCGCACAAGGATTAAACATGCCTGACGTTGATTTTCTTAAAGGGGGATTTTTTTGGTCTTGGTTGGGCGCAGCCTTGACAATCTAATTAGTCAAGACATTGACCCTGCAAAGGGGAGTCTGCAGGGCCCTTACCCGGGGGCTGGGCTATCCAGGAGGCAGATACAGAAATACCCGAGCAGGGTGTTTTTGCAGGGGCTCAGGTCAAGCAAGACGTACTAGCTCCGGTGTGCTGGGGTGTGATTGCAGCTATACTGCACCTGGGAGCAGTGTGCCCAGTTTTGCACACCACAGAGCCCACGCTGCTAAGCTTTGCAGGGCCTGTGCCAGCACCATGCAGAGCCAGCCGGGTTCCGCTATGTCCCAGAGCTCCCAAACCTGGGAAAGCTTCCTAACTACGCTGTGGTCCCAAGTGGGATGGGAAGCAGCAGAGGACAAGCACACAACCAGACCTAACCTGGGCTCTATGGAAAAGAATGAGGTTTCTATGTTGCTCAAGATGTCTTATATCACCCGAGTTTCCCCTGCTATTCAGGATATTTTAACCCATTCTCCAGATGGCAAAGAGCTGACAGTACTATTAATTTGCGTAGAGGGATAGCTACAAGTCCCTGAGCTTTTAAGGTGTACTTTGTCAAGGGTAGAGTGCCTACATCAGCCAAGATGCAGCTTTCTTTTGAGCGTTTGGAAGTGCTGGCAAGATTTACATCTGCTTCCGTTATTACATCCCATTTAAGTCATAACATCAGGTTGGCTGCATTAATTCAGAAATATAAAAAAAGGAGCTCTGTGTCAGCTGAAGTGTGCGGCCGGCCACCCACACCCGTCTGGATTTTTTTGAGTTACAAGTCTTTCGGTGTTGTGATTTCACGTGTTAATTTGCAGCTTTTTTAGAAACCACAGACTCTACCTTGCAGCAACTGTTACGGAAACCAAGAGTACCCTACCCCTAATACTCCAACCACCACGATGCTCAGCTGCAAATGTTGATGCTTATCGTGTTACTGATAGCAACAGATAGGAGTATTTATTGCCTGGGTTTACTGTGAAGGACCAAGCGTGCTTTGCACTGCTCCATCGCGCACGGCAAAGCTGCTCACCAGCAGCATCAAACCCCCCGGACCGACTGCCCAGGCCACCCGCCCGTCCCCGCCGCGCACAGCCACCGCAAAAGGCGACAGCCACCTGCCCCTGGCTGTTGTGGCACTCTTGACCTCTTCAAAGTGCTGTGCAAACACGGGCTAATTAATCCCCTAAACCACCCAAGGACTCAATACTATTATTAAAACGGTGGCTTTCCTTTTAAAACCTGGCCTCTAATCCCCTTCCTTGGGCCTCTCCCCATGTCTCCTGGGCTGGCTGGCCCTCCCAGCCTGATCCAGACCCCTGGCGAGGACAGGGAGGGTCTCTGCCCGTGGAGGACGAGGCAGGGCTGTGCTCCCCCTCTGCAGCCCGAGCCCCCAGCAGGAACAAGCGCTTCCCTCGGCCATTTTCGCCCCGGCGATCGATCGGTACCTCGGGCTGTGCCGGCACGGGGTTTTGCATGGCCTCCTTATGCTTCCCAGGGCATTCCTTAGGGATTAAATGCACATTCCTGGAAAAGTAACCGCACTGCTCACCTAAACACTGCCTGAGTGTTCAGGTTTCGTGCTAAAAACACATTAGACGGGTGTTATTCCAAACTAAAGAGACAACCTGTTTCCCTTGTCTAAACAGCAGGGGCTCTGGAGTTCGGAGCGGGCTCAGCTCTCAGGCACCCCAAAGGAAATCACAAGCAGTGAGCTGCTCTGGATTTTGGGTTAAAAATCATGCTTTTTCAACCTGTCGCAGTTTGCAGACCCTGAAAGTGTTCCAACTGAGACAAAAACTTCTTTGTAGGCATTCAAGCCTCCTGACGAGCAGCTTGCGTATTTTTTTTAGCTGTCTTTCACTGACCTCTTAAGCCAGGACTGCTAGACTTGGTCCGTTGGCTGCTGGCTGAAAACTGCCGAGGCTGCTGTAAGGACGCTGCACCTCACCCAGTAGAAGAAAGGCCATTCTTTTGAGGATATCTCTGAGGATCAAGGAACTGTAATTACAGTGCAGAGCTGCTCATGAAAGCGGAGAGAAAGCCCCAGAGGGAACTGAGTCCAAAGCACGGTGCTTAGGGCTGCACGCTCTGTGAGAGCTTGAAATAACGCGGGCATCCAGGTGGCCTCCGATGCTTCTGTTTCGCTCTTTGAAAGCTGGCTGGGTTCTGAGCTGACGGCGGGTTGCTGCAGCTGAGAGATCAGCCCCAGCAAGTACGTTTCCATATTCAGGTACGTGGCTAACAACCTGACCAAGGACTGAAATTGCTTTCTCTATGCTGGGCAGCCAAGCCAGCGTGACTGGGAAAGCCTTGAAAAAACCCGAGTCTCCGCAGCAGCCTGCATTTCGCCACATCTCCCGTAAGCAGCACTCCAGTCGTTAGCTACGCGGCTAACGGGCTCCTTAGCAGAGAGCGTACCTGCGGGGAGGTGAGCGGAGGTGGGTCCGACAGCTGGCGCTTTCTGTTGCCTGCTTAAACAGCCAGCTGGTGCTGTAGATGAAGGCAACGTTTTGGGTTTTATTTTCAATCTGTATGCAGGTATAACCTCAGACCTGCCAGCTGAGCGTTGTGTTGCCTCTGTGTGTAGAGGCTTTACGTTAGCAGGCACTTACGCCTTTTTTTAACAGGCTTTTTAAAAATTTATTTTAAATTCAAATTAATTGAAAACTGCTTACTCCACGGTCACTGGTGTAAAAAAAGGGTGTTTCTAGGGAGAAGCACAGACACCAACAACTTTGCAGCAGAAAGCTATCCAAGAAGAAAACGACCCATGTTTATACAGCCCCAGCTCCCTAAACCACTGGGGAAGCGAAGCAGGCAGGCAGCTCACTTAAACAGGCCCTTGCTACAAAGCTGAAAAGAGTCGAGTAGCGCTTTTTTCCCTCACTCTTCCAAACCACACCGAGGTGCTGGCTGTGAAGCCGGCAAAGCTGGCGGCGAGGGGAGCGGCTGTCCCGGGACGGGGGGGGGCAGCGGGACGGAGAGGGGATACTCACCTGCCTGGAGCAGCATCAGCAT